GATTCTGCATCTTTTGAGCAGATTCTGCATTAGCAGGAGGGTTCTTTATCACGAGTACCATCTGGGTAGCCCTATATCATTCTTAAAGCACTTCATATGCTGCCTGGCTTATAATTTTTTTTAATGTATTTATAGTATCTCCCCTGGACTGTATGTATGCTCCTTGAAGATTCTGGACTCTCCACAGTATGCAGTACCTTGGGTAGAGTAAGCACTCATTAATTTGTTGAATGAACAAAATATAATTAATTTGGTGCTTTAATTTATGCCAGATAACAGCCCTTCACATTCTGGAGTTTATCAGAATTCAGGAATACAACATCTGAAGTATCTGCAGAACATCTACTCCTGGATGGCAGATGTTTAACTCAGTAAATTTGTCCCATACTTGTTTAAGCCAAAAATACTCTAATATGACTCCAAAGAAATCTCAGTAGCTCCATATATGTAATAATAATAAAGTGCATTAAGTATTTACTACAGGCCAGTGTGTGTGTGTGCTAATTCGCTTCAGTCTTGTCCGGCTCTTTGAGACCCTATAGACTGTAGCCTGCCAGACTCCCCTGTCCATGGGATTCTCCAAACAAGAATGCTGCAGTGCGTTGCCACGCCCTCCTCTAGGGGCTCTTCCCAAACCAGGGATCAAACCTGTGTCTCTTCCATCTCTTGCTTTGGCAGGCAGGTTCTTTACCGCTAGCACCTGGGAAGCCCACCATGGGCCAGACGCTTTGTATTATCTTGAACAAAGAAATGATTTTGGTCTCTTTTACCAATAAGGAAGCCATGATTCAGTGAGGCTAAGAACCTTTTCCATGTCTACATTGTTGGTATGGCAGAACAGTGATTGGACTTCAGGTGGCTTTATACCAAATTAGCCTCTTTAAAATACGTTATGCCACCTATGGACATCTTCATGTCTTACTCAATTTTTTGTTTATTTCTTTGCTTTTTTGTTATTATAAGTCTTTTGCATATAGAAGGGAAAGTCTCCAGGGTTCCATTTGCCAAGGCCAGAGAAGGACAAAAGTTAAAGGCTTCATGAGGTTCCCACAGGAAAACTCTTAAATAAGAAGGGAGATAAAATGCCTTAAAATCTTTGTAAGAGTTCCAGTAAGAGATGAGGGAAAGCCATATAGGCATGTTGCAAATCTAGGAGATGGTGGTGGCAGAAACCAGAGCAAAGGCAGTAGAAATTGAGAGAAACATAGAGTTGAGATATTTCAGAGGCAGAATTGTCAGAACTTGATTCTCTGGACGTGAGGAATGTGGGGGCAGGAGGCTTGAAGGAGAGACTTGACTTCTGAGTTGGTCTCTTAGTCCACCAGCACAGACCCTGGGCATGTATTCCATAACTCTCCACAGAGAAAGCCTTAAAAAGGAGTATACTACTTTTCAACAGGATAGCTGGTTATCAACACCATCATGGATGGCTCTCTGATGGAAAAACATTTTGGAGGCTGCAGAAAATGTGTTCAGAGGCTGATGACATTTTTCTTTTAGGAATATCATCTTTTAACCATATATTCAAAGACCTTTCCCATCCAATTTATTATTTTCATAGCTGTACTGCGGAAATGAAAACAAGCATAGATAGGATATATGTGACTATGAAGGGTACCAGTCTTGGAAGAAAGAAATGATACCATGAATCATTGCCTATTGGAACTAAGAGCAGTGAAAAAAATGCTCAAATGAACTGATTTAGGTAGCAGCCCCAGCAGTGCATTCCACAGCACACTCTAACTGCAGGGAATGAATATTTCAATGGCAGTACACAAAGTTGTGTGTTCTCTGCTAATTCCTTTTTATAAATCATAAAGTTACTGTGTTCTGCCTAATAAATTAGTTTGGATAATAACATCATAAACCTTAAAATAGAAATCATTTGATCAAAAGCAAAATATACCAAGGAAATACATTACCATCTAAAATATTAATAGAGCTAGAACTATTGGGGAAAAAAAAGATTAAGCTCTCAATGAGGTTCCATTTCTCACCATTTGAGCATAAAGATTCACAAGTGCTGACTCAGCATATAGTCTTTTCAAAAAGTCTTAAAAGATTGAACAGATGCTCCTAAAGGTCAGCGAACTTCATTACAAATTGACACTAATTCTTTCTTTTCTACCCTGTTTTTGGGGTGGAGGGGTAAGAGGCAAGAGGTGGTGAAAGGAGGATCAATTCTATCATTATCAATGGACACACAGGACCAAAAAAATCAAGCTGGCCTCCAGAGAAAGCCAGGAAAATGAGCCTCTCCATCTTCCACCCAGCATAAAAATGGTCTAAAATAAATGGGAGACAGAAATAACAACTTGGAAAATGATTTTGCTGAATGTCTTCCTTTCTCAAGATGTCTGACCACAGCTATGCTTGAAATATTCATAGATGAACAATATTTGCCCAAAAGATGTGGTTATTTTTACAAAGCAAATAAGGAACAATCATTTCCAATTATTTTTAAAAAGAAATGCCAAATAGAATATACATGGGATTTGATCATCTCAATTTTGACAGGCAGAAAGATAAGCATGTTAGGAACCAAACATCATACTTTTAGCTCCTATACATTGTGCCCAAATGAAATTCCTGTGTGGTAAATATGCCTCCCTTTATGTAGCAAAATCCACCCTGAGTCCAACACCATTTTCCTGAAGTCTAATTCCTTTCAACAAGGCACTAAATCTTTTTATTGCAACCACCAAATGTTTTCTTATTGCTAGAAATAGTACACTAACTTTTTGATACATGCTCCAGCTTTCCAAGATTCTGTTGGAAAGAAAGTAATCCTTTATGACATTTTATATCCCGCCCCATTTATTGCTTTCCAGAATTTCTATCATTAATTAAAGGGCCTTCTTTCACCATCCCCTGCCACCACCACCCCCCAAAAAACCTAATCTATTCCCCAACTGCCTATCATAGACTAAATAAAAGTCGGTCTATCACAGCAGCAGGCATGGTCATGCCAATTTCACAGTGTGATTTGTGCACTCATTTCATTTTGAAAATGACCCTGCCCTCCATCTGTCTAAGCCGAATGTCCTGCTTTTTTCAAGCCAGGCCTCAGGAGCAGCAGCACATGAAATAAGGAAGAAAACAGAATGGCCTCCCTCCTGCCCACTTCAGCAACCACACTCACAGACAGGGGAAGAAGCACAAAGAGGGGAACCTCAACTGATGCCTGTAGGGATGGGAGAAATCTAGGGGAGAGCACAGGCCTGCTATTTTGCTTCCATTCCCAAGAGGCCATTTGAAGGTAAATGCTTTCATGATGCAATACAACCCTGAAAATCAGACTGATTGACTAAAGATACAAAACACAATTTCCCATTTCCATGTTCTGTCTTGTTACCTTGATTTATAATAGCAACTTACCCAAAGTATCAGGTCATACATAAGTTTTTTAAAAGACTGAGTCTTTTGGATAATTTTTTTCCCCAAGAGCTAAGTATCAATCAAGCAGGCATGAAGGAGAAGGCACCCTATTCCTTTACTACTGAGCAGCACTAGACAGCATCCCTCAAACCATGTACCTCTTTGGGCTGAAGACTGGAAAGGATTTCAGCAGAGATTGGGTTGGAAGAAGCCTCGGAGTCAGGTTACTGAGTTATGACCAAAGTAAGTCTTTCTCAGCTGCTTTCTCTGGGCATCCTGGGTGGCCCACTCAAACCCACTGGAAGGAGTGCAGTGTGTCTTTTACTTGGTATTCACGCAGTGGACAGTTCCGTGTCCAGTTTCATGCTTCAGCAGAACACAACTCTGGCAAACTTTGCAGCAAGGGAGAGGAATGGATGAGAATATGCAGTCAATTTCTTGATAGCATATCATTCAGATGTCCTACTGAAGTCTCTTCTTAGCTATAATAGATGATTAGGAAATTCACCACCTCCCACTCATCACCTCCTTAACATCTGCTCACAGCTGCAACTCAGGGAAGAAAGTTCAAATTCTACCAGCTAAAGTTGCTTGTTTGTTTTAATAGAAAAAATAACAACCAAGAAAGCAAGACACTGTATTCCCTCAAAGCTGGGCCCTTATGTGATACATGTGTGTGTGCTCGGTTGCTTCAGTCTGTCCTACTCATTGCGATCCTATGGACTGTAGTGTGCCAGGCTCCTCTGTCCATGGGACTCTCCAGGCAAGAATACTGGAGTGGTTTGCCACTTCCTTCTCCAAGGGATCTCCCTAACCCAAGGATTGAACCTGCATCTCTTATGTTGCCTGCATTGTCAGCTGAGTTCTTTACCATTAGCGCCACTTGGGAAGCCCCATACTGAGCACTATTAAATTCCAAAGAATTTATACACAAATAGACCTAAAGGTAGTAACACAAAATCTAGGGCATCTATTCCAAATACATAAGAAAGGAACACAAGAAAATCCAGCCACAGATTAAGTAGGTTGGAAAGTTAAAAGAGTTAACGGTGCACAGAAAAGGGAAAACTTGGAATGTGCTTCCTCCTCCCCTCCACCCTTCTTGGAAAACACGAGGTTGTAGATTTCTGCAAGGTTTTTCCACTTCGTGGTGAAATCTGGAGAGTCAAGGCAGACCACAGGGCCAAGTTTAAACGCTAAAATGAACTTAGTAATATTTGTAGTTACGGAAAAACGGGGGGAGCGGGAGGGGTAGTGGGAGCAGGAGCGGAGGCGCTTGAAACTAAAGCCAAACCTAAGTATCACATAAACTCCAAGCACTCTTTCCTGCTATCAACCTCTGAAACGACAAAATAAGAATTCCTGATCGCTGCACTATTTTGTTCTTAGAAAGTGCGCCCACGGGACGACCCAAAGACAGAAAGTCCACTGTAATTCGGGGAGAACACCAAACTGACATTCCTCTTTTTCCATTCCCGTTTCATTCACCAAAACAACGTGAAACAACACCATGTATATGCACTGCACAGTGTCTAAAGGCTCAAAAACGGAAGGGACGTCGAACCGTAAACCTTCCACCTCCGCGCCAGAGACACAACAGGCAGTCAACAATCCTCATTTACCACAGAACGGAAGGTGACCACGACCTCATCTCCCCTCACCCCAGGGTCCGCCCCGAGGAGACTACGCCTCCCAGCATGCAGCGCGGCTACGTCCGCTGGCGGCGCGAACCGGTGCATGCCGGGAAGTAGAGTTTCCGTCTTCGAACGGCCAGGAGGTCTTTCCTCTCGCGTCTAACGCCGCTCACACTCTGGAGTCTTCAGGGACCAGGCCAATAATTGAGATACACACATTAGTAACTCTTTCCAATCTCAGGTTGATCGTTCCGCTGCAAAGTACTTTAGGAGCAACCCCCCCCCGCCCCGCCAAAGCCCATTAAAAACACCAACCTTCTTCGCAGCCTTCCGTTTCCGGTTGTCTTGTTGCCCTGGTAACGAGCGTAAACAACCTCGGAGGCGGTTATGGCGGGCCTGGGAGGTGCGCAGATCCCCGACGGGGAGTTCACCGCGGTTGTGTACCGGCTCATCCGGGATGCCCGGTACGCCGAGGCCGTGCAGCTGCTGGGCGGAGAGCTCCAGCGGAGCCCGAGAAGCCGCGCCGGGCTGTCGCTGCTGGCCTACTGCTACTACCGCCTACAGGAGTTCGCGCTGGCGGCCGAATGCTATGAGCAGCTGGGCCAGCTGCACCCGGAGCTGGAGCAGTACCGCCTGTACCAGGCCCAGGCCCTGTACAAGGCCTGCCTCTACCCAGAGGCCGCCCGCGCGTCCTCCCTCCTCCTGGACAACCCCGCCTACCACAGCCGGGTCCTCCGTCTCCAGGCCGCCATCAAGTACAGCGAGGCAGACCTGCCCGGGGCCAGGAGCCTGGTGGAGCAGCTGCTGAGTGAAGGAGGAGAAGACAGCGGGGGCGAGAACGAGCTGGATGGCCAGGTCAATCTGGGTTGTTTGCTGTACAAGGAGGGACATTATGAAGCCGCGTGTTCCAAGTTCTCTGCGGCCCTGCAGGCTTCGGGCTACCGGCCTGATCTTTCCTACAACCTGGCTTTGGCCTATTACAGCAGCCGGCACTATGCCCCAGCTCTGAAGCATATCGCGGACATTATTGAGCGTGGTATCCGCCAGCACCCAGAGCTAGGTGTGGGCATGACCACTGAGGGCATTGATGTTCGAAGTGTTGGCAACACCTTAGTCCTTCACCAGACTGCTCTGGTGGAAGCCTTCAACCTCAGGGCCGCCATAGAATACCAACTGAGAAACTATGAGGCGGCCCAGGAAGCCCTCACTGACATGCCACCAAGGGCAGAGGAAGAGTTAGACCCCGTGACCCTGCACAATCAGGCACTAATGAACATGGATGCCAGGCCCACAGAAGGGTTTGAAAAATTACAGTTTTTGCTCCAACAGAACCCCTTTCCCCCAGAGACCTTTGGCAACCTGTTGCTGCTCTATTGTGAATATGAGTATTTTGACCTGGCAGCAGATGTCCTGGCAGAGAATGCCCATTTGACTTACGAATTCCTCACACCCTATCTCTATGACTTCTTGGATGCCATGGTCACTTGCCAGACAGCCCCTGAAGAGGCTTTCCTTAAGCTTGATAGCCTAGCAGGGATGCTGACTGAACAGCTCCGTAAACTTACCATACAAGTGCAGGAAGCAAGACACAATAAAGATGATGAAGCTGTCAAAAAGGCAGTGAATGAATATGATGACACCCTTGAGAAGTACATTCCTGTGTTAATGGCCCAGGCCAAAATCTACTGGAACCTTGAAAATTACCCAATGGTGGAAAAACTCTTCCGCAAATCTGTGGAATTCTGTAATGACCACCATGTGTGGAAGCTGAATGTGGCTCATGTTCTGTTCATGCAGGAAAACAAATACAAAGAAGCCATAGGTTTTTATGAGCCCATAGTCAAGAAGCATTATGACAACATCCTGAATGTCAGTGCTGTTGTGCTGGCCAACCTGTGTGTTTCATATATTATGACAAGTCAAAATGAAGAAGCTGAGGAGTTGATGAGGAAGATTGGAAAGGAGGAAGAGCAGCTCTCCTATGATGATCCAGATAAGAAAATGTACCATCTCTGCATTGTGAATTTGGTGATAGGGACGCTTTACTGTGCCAAAGGAAATTATGACTTTGGTATTTCCCGGGTTATCAAAAGCTTGGAACCTTATAATAAAAAACTAGGAACTGATACATGGTATTATGCTAAAAGATGCTTCCTATCATTATTAGAAAACATGTCAAAACACACCATCATGCTTCGTGACAGTGTCATTCAAGAATGTGTTCAGTTTTTAGAACACTGCGAACTTTATGGGAGGGACATACCTGCAGTTATTGAAGAAACCCTGGAAGAAGAAAGAACGCATATTGGAAAGAATACAGTCACATATGAATCCAGAGAGTTAAAAGCTTTGATTTATGATATTATAGGATGGAATATGTAGTGGTGTCTGATAGTGGCCTTATCATAATGGTTTTATATCTCTTTCACTCTTGTTTTTTATCTCCAGTTAGCTAGTGGCATCTTTACATTTGTTACATGTTGGACTTTGTACAGTTCAAAATTATAATAAAAATAATTAGTATTTTTTAAAAATCTTCACAAAGTGAAATGTAAGAACATCTAGAAACATTTATGAAAATTCAGAACTGCCTGGGGACACTGTTTCTATTAGAACTTGTTAGAACCCATGTTCCCTCTCTGTTACCATTTGTGCTTTGTATTTTGAGTGACCTGCATAAAGGTTATATTATCCAGGGACTTGGTACTAGTCCTATCAGGCCCAGAACTCTGTAGTTAATGTATAGGATTTCTAGGCTTTTAATAATCTCAGGGATTGTGTGTTCTAATTCATAGTTTGTAATGAATACATATTATATAGCATTAGGATGTTTTTCAGAATTCTCAATATAAAATATAATGCTTTATGTAAACAAAATACATTACAAAGATACCTTATAATTTTTTTTTTGTTGCTGCTGGTTTTTTAATGTGCAAGTCAGTGGGAGACCTTGTGCCCTTAACAAAGTTATGGTGCTGTGGTTTAGAGACAATAAACAGTTGTCGAAGAACTTTACATAGTTTTCTTTTGTTCCACTTGTTAGTACTCTGAATATATAAGCAACATACAGTGTTTTTCATAACTCTGTTCTCCTTTAACAATGAGGAATAGCAGAGGTCGCATGAGAACTCAGTGCTTACTTCCCACGTTTGTATTTGTAATTTAGGATGTTAATGCTGGCGTTGTTTGTGTGTAGTAACCTCTCAGGAAAAGAAAAATCGAAGCTATTTCCATGACCCCACCAAACTTCTCTTCCACCTCCATCACAGATGAAAAGGTCAATTCTGAAACCTCTGGTAGATTCATAATGCTGGGTTATGGCCACAACCCTTCCAATGAAAACCCCACTCATTCTGCTTAGGCATTTTTATTTTCTGAACCATACAAGAGCTTTACCTTGTTTCCCCACCCCTCTTCTTTCCATAAATCTGTCAACCCCAACTCTTGACCTGGTTTAGAGAAAAACAAAGTAGCTTGAATTATATGAAATTGCTGGTTTTGGAAGTTTTTAAACTATAAAACTAGCAATTTTTTATGGTCCAACCTAATAGTGTTCTACTGAAAAGACAGTGAACCCTGCTGTGATGTTCAGTTCAGTTCAGTCGCTCAGTCAAGTCCGGCTCTTTGTGACCCCATGGATTGCATCATGTTAAGGCTTCCCTGTCCTTCACTATCTCCCAGAGCTTGCTCAAACTCACATCACTGACTCGATGATGCCCTCCAACCATCTCATCCTCCGTCGTCCTTCTCCTGTCTTCAATCTTTCCTAGCATCAGGGTCTTTTACAATGAGGCAGTTCTTCGCATCTGGTGGCCAAAGTATTGGAGTTTCAGCTTCAGCACCAGTCCTTCCAATGAATATTCAGGATTCATTTCCTTTAGGATGGACTGGTTTGATCTCCTTGCAGTCCAAAGGACTCTCAAGAGTCTTCTCTAACACACTTCAAAAGCACCAGTTCTTCGGCACTCAGCTTTCTTTGGTTCAACACACATCCATACTGGAAAAACCATAGTTTGACAGACCTTTGTCAGCAAAGTAATGTCTCTGCTTTTTAATATGCTGTCTAGATTGGTCACAGCTTTTAAGGAGCAAGTGTCTTTTAATTTCATGGCTGCAGTCACCATCTGCAGTGATTTTGGAGCCCACCAAAATAAAGTCTCTCACTGTTTCCACTGTTTCCCCAACTATTTGCCATGAAGTGATGGGACTGGATGCCATGATCTTAGTTTTTTGAATGCTGAGTTGAGATGATTTTTTTTTCCTTCAAGGAGAAATCCCTTAGCCACATAGGTACCCATACAGGGACCCACATAGGTTCCCAGCATAAATCCTCTGTAGCATGACCTTCTGGGTGCTCAAATTCTACTAGATCTATCAGAAAATGGCTTATTATGAAGTCCAACGATTTTGAATTTATAGCAATTTTAATCTTAATTACATAAGCCGATACCATTTAGCACTGATGTTTGAACCCACATTGGGAGGACAATCAGTGTTTAATGACCCCTTTAGTGCATCCCTTAGTGCAATTCCATTACTGGGAAATGTTCTTTAACAACCTCTGTGCTAAAAGTCTTGTTGCTTCATTGTGCAGTAGCTCTGTGCCCTCTCAATCTTCATAGCCCCTTAACATTTGGAAAGTAAATCAATTGAAATCTTATTTTTAACAGCCATGTTTTAAAAAATAGGGTGGTTTTTTTTTTGCATATTTCCTCAACTTTTTTCTTAAAAAAAAAAAAAAAAAAGCAGAAAGTGTAAGTAATGTTAACCACCCAAAAGTAAATGTTTTCCAGATTCCCTTTTGCAAATAGCTCAGTCTTTACTCAACCACACTTTATTTACCCAGGTGCTGTGTGTTTGTGGTTTGCATGTATGTGTAATTTAGCCTTTCAGAACATAAAAAGCTTTTCAGAACAGTTTTTAACCCCTTGCCGCTAGGCGGTTGGGATTTCCTGGTTAGTAATGCATCAGGAAATCCTGACTGGTCCTACCACTGAGGGAAGGAATAAAGGTCAATTATAGCATTTGTCCCCTTCCTTACACAAGCTCTCCAGAGAGGTACCCACCAGAATTGATAGATCATGTTGCTGCCTGGCAACAGCCAA